AGGCGCTAGCTAAAGTGGCCCCTCGGGATAGAGTCATCTTGTTGGGTGACTTTAATGCCCGAGTTGGTCATGATGCTGGCACCTAGTCTGGAGGGATTGGAAGGCATGGGCAAGATCAGCTCAATAACAGCGGTAGGAGGCTGCTAGATTGTTGTGCAGGCCATGGGCTTGTTATTACCAACACGCTGTTCCGGCATCGGCACATCCATACATCATGGATGCATGCCGGGTCCAAGCAAGAACATCTGCTGGACTACGTATTGACGTAACAGTGGATGCGGGCCCATGTCCTTGACACCAGGACCTACCGTGGAGCAGATCTACCCTCTGACCATCGACTAGTCATCTGTTAAATGCACCTGCCATTCTTCCACTCGGGTGGTGGGTGTACACCCAGGACCCCATTCAAACATAAGGTGGCATAGTCTCAGCTAGCTGATGAAAGTTGTAAGCGAGAATTTCATCGCTTGTGGCTGGGGTTGGCATCTTCCCCCACTCCTCCAGATGTCGAGGGTAAATTGGTGAGGTTAATGACTGTGACTCAGGCAGCTGCAATGTCTGCTTTGGGTACGTGGTCTAGACCTCCACAGAGACCCTGGCTGACAGAGGAGGTGTCCAAGCTGGCTGAGAAAAAAGCGACAGGGCCACTCTCATCGGCTACAGCATCCCACGTCGGAGAATGAGGAGGCTTACCGCAGCCTTCGCTCGGAGGTTCGGAGAGTCGTGAGGCGCTGCAAGCATGGGTGGTGGTCGCGGGTTGCTGAGGAGATGAAGTCTGCCTCAATGGCCCGCGATCACAAATCCCTATTTAATTCCAGCAAAAAAGTAACCTACAGCCCCACACTTATTACCATCATTCGGGGGAAAAAAAACTGTGATCCAATTTCCGACCCCCAGGACAGGTTTGCATATTTTCTGAGCATTTCTGTGAATTCCTAAGGGGAGGAGAAATTCCTCCACATGGAAAACATCGTGGGGCAAAGTGGGGATGACCCTGCTGAGGCAGTGTTGCCTCAAATATTGGAAGAGGAAGTCACGCCCTGTGAGTGGCTGTCGGAAGTACCATCTGTTGAGGAAGTACTGAAGGCGATCCAGAGTCTGAGACCAGGAAAGGCATTGGGCAAAGATTATCTCCCAAGCAAAATGCTGAGGGAGGGTGGCGTTTGTGCACAGACTGCCCTACAGGACATCATAACACGTCTGGACCACTGTACGGGTTCCGCAGGACTGGACGGATGCCCTGGTGGTCCCCATCTTTAAGAAAAAAGATCTCACAGACTGTAACAACTACAGGGGCATCTCACTACGCAATACTCTGATCCATGCATTGTATTTGTACTGTTTTTTTATGTTGTCCTCTGGTCTACTACACTGGTGGTGAGACTAGGCATTAAGAAGACTGCCGTCTCTGGTGTAGGCTAATCAGTTTCAAAAACAATGCCTATATAATAATCAGAGTATGTTTGTTCGTATATTCACCACAAGTACTGTAAGTGGTTAATGCAGACATTATTCCTTGCAAAGGTTTCTGTTTCGTGTTTTAACATCTTAACACAACTGCTGTTTTATTGCCAGAAATGGTTAAACCTATCATTATTATCTCAAACTTTGATACCGGCAAAAAAGGTACTATTTAGTTTTTACGCGCTTATGTTGATGTGTTACGGCCGGACCCCCGTGGGGCGCCTGCCCCCTGCCCACATGAGCGGGAAACTGTGCCAGGTTCAGCAAAGGGCCTTGCTAGGTGGTTTGTGGCTCCGTAAACTGGACCCAGAGCCACAGCCACGTGACCGAGTTAAACACGGCAACTCCCACCGGTGTCTCACAGCTCGACAACTGGAACGTGACTTTGAGACAGGAACAAATTATTTTCACGAAGTAGTTCAAAGTGTTAAACTAAAAATAAAAGGAGAAGCTGAAAGAAAGCTGAAAGACGAAGATAACAACAACAATCTCATGGAGTAGAGAGGCAGAAAGCAACGAGTTTACTCGCAGCATTCCTGTGGTGCCACGACCACGGAGCAACTCCGCAAACGCCGCAATCCCCTCCCGGCCGCCACACTAAACACACGACCCACACACAGCGCACCCACGTAGTGTCCTGACAGGGGGTTGCCTGACACATCGGGTTTTAATCCGAATGGCCCCTAGAGGGAGAGTTCCACGGTTTCCCGATGCCAGGAAATTGGCCGACCCTCACAGGACAGGTTACATTGCGGTGCCCCTAAATTGGCTTAAGATTTGTATGGGCGCTGAACGAAAAGGTTCACTGGGCCATCCGCAATGAGTTACTCACGACACTGGGAGAGGCGGAGGGTGGAATATTCGGCCAGAAAGGCAGACCAGTGGGTTATAATTAATGAGCACGGGAGGACGATGGGTGAGGGGCTGCAGCAGCAGCAGACCCCGTGGCCCTCCATGTAGACGGCGCAGGTGAGCGCGCGATTGGCTGCACGGTACAATGCCACCCTGGGCCTTTGAAGTGAGGAGATTAGGCCACGGTAGAGACGGTGGAGCGGGACGACGACAGGAAGCATGGGTAAGCGCCCGATTGGCTGCGTGGTATGACATAACCCTGGGCCTTTGAAGTTTAGAGAATAAAGACAGGTGCCCTGGGACGGTGAGTTCAGTTGTATTCAACCTCCGGGCGATCCAGACCCACTCCCTGCCATCCTGCCTCCTCGAGCCGCTCGCAGCATTCGTGTGATGCCAGCGAGTGCTGCTACGAGGCAGTGATAGGCGAGGTTTTCGCTCGTCCTTCTCCCTCTGACTCTCACTGTGTCCATGCGACGCCGTGAGTACAGCTCCAAGGTACATGGTAGAACATTTGTGTAACTGGGCTCATAGACAGAGCTACGCTAGGCTCTCCTCGCAAAATATTCCTCCTCCGGGTCATGCGTATTGGCACCATTAATAAACTATAGTTCAGAATATCGGTGTGGTGTGATTTCTGTGTGTGTTGGTAGAGCCTCGGCGTAGCGTCTGTGATCTGTGTGGCGCGTCTGCGTGTAGAGACGGTGTGCCCGGCGTGAGAGCGAGCGCGGGGCTGCGGAGTGGCGGCGCGGGGTTGGTGTGTGAGGTGCGCATCTATTACCATCTATACTACCACCACAGGTTACGCGGGGTTTTGCATGCGCGTCTGCAGCGCCGCGTGAGTGATTAAGGCGGGGTCGATCCACCCGCTCGCTGGCGTTCGCACGCCTTTACAAGGCGCGTGGACATTGTAAAAATAGCCTCAAAGGCGAGGCGTGCACCCAGGGTCCTGCCGCAGCCATCCCCTTTTTCACGTAGCATTGTTACACAGCGGATGAGGGCTTAACCACGGGGAGGGGCGCGTGCATATTAATGAGGCTATTTTTAGCGCTAGACTTTGAGTGCAACAAGCGCCGGCAGGGGCGCGCGCGTGCACGCAGCCCCCTCCGCATCAGTGGTGGTGGTGTACGTGGGCGTGTGCGAGATAACCCCGGGCGGTGGTGAGCCAGCCGAGTAGCGATGTCCCTCAGAGAGGGCGCTGGCGCGGGGGGGGCCGATCACGCGATCGGCGAGGAGGGGTAAGTGGAGGGGGTGGACGTCACACCCCACCGGCTCACGGGGAGCGGGGAGGTGGACGTCAGCCCCCACATCCCCCTGCCAGTTCAGTTGAGACGAGTTGAGGTGAGTTGATGAGGTGAGTTGAGATGAGGTGAGATGAGTTGACGTGAGGTGAGTTGAGATGAGGTGAGTTGAAGTGAATTTAGGTGAGTTGACGTGAGTTGAGTTGATGAGGTGAGTTGAGATGAGGTGAGCTGAATTGAGTTGTGGTGATGTGAGATGAGGTGAGGGCCCGTCAATAAATGACGTCATGCACCTAGGAGGGGGGGGGGGGTCAGACATTTATGACGATGTGTGACGAGGGGGGGGGGGTTGAGAGATGTGACGTCACATTAAAATGCGCAACTTTAAATAAATATAGAATTGTTAAAACAACACTAATTTTAATAAATTTCCATTATTAACTATATAATTATTTAAATTTACTAAAGTCACTTTAGTTTATTCCATGAAGGAGCATTTTGCTTCTCCATGGGAGAATGGAGAAGCATACATTTTGAAAAAAATGTTAATGATTGTTATTAAACATTTTGATTCTAATTATTCTACCAGGGTTTTTCATTCTGTGAAATGAATCTGTGATTGTTATAATTGTACTCTCCATTTTACTTTGTTTTACTACGAAGTTTCAAGTATTTTTTAATCGTTATAATTACTTTTATATTTTATAATTATAAGATAATTTCAATATAATATATGCTAAATTTCAGTTTTCCAACGCCTCCTTTTAAATATGTATTCTCCTGCAACATCAGAGTGCAACGCCACATTAAATACGCACTACAATGACAATAGTTTAAAGCGATTTGAAGCATGTTTTATTTTCAAAATGGAAATATGGTTTTGGGGGGTGGGGGGCAGAGCTTTGTGACGTCATATTTGAAGGGGGGGCCTGACTTTTTGTGACGCTGTACGACGGGGGGGGGGTAAAAAATCGTCCAAAATCGCGTGACGTTATTTATGGAAGGCCTCTGAAGTGAGTTGCGATGAGGTGAGTGAGGATGAGTATTTATGAGTATTTGAGACGAGGTGATCTGAGTCTTCTTTTTTAAGCCACCCCTGGAGTGGAGACGTCTGTACTCGCTGACACATCAACACATTCCAGGGCACGCCTCGTGAGACGCAAATCAAACTGAAAGACTTCCTGCTTCCTTGTCACCTATTTACGTGGCTTGTTCCTTGTTTAGCGTCTGAGACGCAGTCAGCGATTGCCTGAGAAACAGACAGAGACTGCCTGAGCTACAGCCAGGGACTGCCTGAGCTACATCCGGATACTGCCTGAGCTAGTCAGCAACTGTCTGAAGTTACAGCCAGAGGCTGCCTGAGCTCCAGCCCGCGACTTTCTGAGCTACAGCCAGCGACTGCCTGAGCTACAGAGACTGCCGGAGCTACAGACAGAGACTGCCTGAGCTACAGACAGAGAATGCCTGAGCTACAGCCAGCGACTGCCTGAGCTACAGACAGAGACTGCCTGAGCTACAGACAGAGACTGCCTGAACTACAGATAGAGACTGCCTGAGGTACAGCCAGAGACTGTCTGAGCTACAGCCAGAGGCTGCCTGAGCTACATACAGAGACTGTCTGAGCTACAGAGACTGCCTGAGCTACATCCAGCGCCCGTCTCTGAGTGGAGGCACAGGGCCATGGCGAGTGCGGCTCCCAGTGGTAGCGAGGCTCCTGGGGAGTTGACCTGCCCCATCTGCCTGGACGCCTTCCGCTGTCCCTGCACGCTCAGCTGCGGCCACTCGTTCTGCCTCGAGTGCGTGGAGGGCGCCTGGGATGCGGCTGAGTCCTTCTCCTGCCCACAGTGCCGAGTGACTTTCCCTCAGAGGCCCCAGCTGAACAAGAGCGTGACGCTCGCCAACCTGGTGGAGCAGCGCAGTGCCGCAGATGAAATGGCCACCGTGGTCTTGTGTGACTTCTGCAACGATGGCACTACTGCTGCCTCGAAGACCTGCCTCAGGTGTGATATGTCCTACTGTGTGACTCATGTAAAGCCTCATCAGGAGAACCCGAAGTTCAGGGGCCACATTCTGGTGGATCCAGACACGAATCCTGAGGACCGCAAATGCAAGAAACACAGAGAGGAGATCAAGTTTTACTGCCGACAGGACCAGAGCTTGGTCTGCACAACCTGCATCATCGCAGGAGACCACAAGGGTCACGATGTGGCTACGTTGGAGGATGAGCACAAGACACGGGAGGTGAGACGGTCTGCCTGTGAGTGAGAGGGAGCCTGTCGTGCACGAAATCATCATTTCCAAGTATGAACTGAACAATGATATCCAACTAAAAATCATTCCTCTCTCAGCTGCCCATTTTTCGTTCACATTTTAACAACGTTGTTTTAATATAAAGTATGCTGAGGTTGTCATAGTGCAGACATAATACAACCACAAGTTTTTTTTCAATCCTGTTGTATGCCAAATTTATAAATGTGCTCTTAGTATATTTGATAAAACTGAAGAACTTTAATGCGTACAACGTGTTCTTAAAATTACGTGAATGCATCGACTGTGGTTCGCATACAAAAAGTGGGTTGTGGTAGAGAGGAGCATCCCCTAAAATTGAAACGAAATGCAAAACGACTGGGACTGCGTGAGCCGCAGTGCTCACCACTTGGTAGCCTCGTGCCGGTCTGTGCCACTTTAGTGCCGCACTCGACAGCAGCTACCGGGTCACTGGACTTGGTGTTCCAGAAATGTCGCGTGATTTTGAAAGACCAAGTATTTCGTGATCGTTTTTATATTTTCATCAAGATGCTCGTTACCGAATTTCTCCGACACTCAACAGAGACATGGCAGCCCTTCCTTGTACCATGCAAAACTAAACTTAACCAATTTTTATTTTACCAAGTGAAACCTACAGAGCTATGTATAGTTGGCAACCTGGCCACAAATTACAGCTCAACAAAGTGGCTTATCAAGTCTAAATGTATGGCAGCCAAATACTCTAAACGCACCTTCCTAAACGTGGGCAGAAAAACCGGAGGACCCAGAGAAAAATCCATGCGACCATGGAGAGAGACATGCAAACTGCATAAACAGGCATCAGGTGCAGTTTCGAACCCACGACCTCCTGAATAGCAGGCAAGGCAGAAAACATCTCACCACTCTGGTGCCCTGTCCACCCACTACTCAGATAGCCCCGCTCACTACTCAGGTAGCCCCACCCACTACTCCAGCAGCCCCGCCCACTACTCAGGTAGCCCCACCCACTACTTCGGCAGCCCTGCACACGTTTGAGCTCCTCGTGAAATTAGGTCCCTGCAGCGCTTGCTCCCTCAGCCTCCATCGCTGCACCGGGGCTACTTCCCCTGTCACTGTGAAGGGGTTCACGTGGAGCGGGGTTGGGAGGGGATGCTCAGAGAGTGAGTGGAGTCTCCCCTGGTGACGTCTCTCACAGAAACAAGTGGGAGAGGAGACGCGGGCGGTGGAGGAGAAGAGGAGGGAGGCGGAGGAGTCCGTGAGGCGGATGGAGGCCGCTCGCAGGGACGTGCAGGTACCGTGACTCTGTGACCCCGTGACTCCACCCTGAGTAGTATTTGTGATGGAGAACAACTCAATTCATTCACGTGGACTTCCATTGACTCAAAACACATTGTGGGACGAAAGACACAACGGTCAATGTGCCTGAATAATCAGGACGAGCAACGAGATGGTTCTCATCTCCACTGAAAAACTCAATCAGTGGTGGAAATTCCACATTACCATATCTCTAAACAACTTACCACTTCAACGTGTTATCTATATTGGTCAGATGAGGTGGTACACGCCTATTATCCAATACTCTGGTGGCAGAGTTGGTGGATCACACACAGACTGTTGTACACTCTTTTAGTGAAACCAATCAGGCGTTAGAGTGGCCAGGTGCCAGTTTAGCAAGTGGTTTCATGATCCACTCTCTTCATCCATACATATGTGGTTTTCTCTCACATTCAAATTATTAATTTGAAGAGGAATTGGCCTCACTTCCCAATTCCTTAGGGCTCTACTTGTTGAAGGCAAATTCCAAATTAATCTTTGCTTCATGGGAAGGCAAACACAGCATCGTCCTGATAGCCTTGCGCAATGAGAATGGCACAGACCCTAAATGTACTCCTGATGGTATTTGATGATGCCTCACAGCCCCCAAATCGTGTTGTACTGAAAATGCTCAGCAGCGCTATCAGAGGAAGAAGGAGGCCTCAGTGCTGCAGACTCGTATCACTGTCCGGACACCTGAATGTCATTTCACAAAGGACCAGACATTTAATGAACAGAGGTGGCATTTCTTTCTCTTTGCAGGGATCCATGACAGATGAAAAGGCCTCAATCTCGGTCAGATTCGCCCGCGCGAGAGCAGCGTTGGATGTGGAGGAGAAGACGGCGTTAGAGCAAGCGGAGCAGAAAGGGCGCGAGCTGCTGACCCAGATCGAGAAGAAGATCGCTCACTACCAGCGCGAGATCAGCGAGCTCCAGGCAGCAGCTACACGCCTGCAGGCCCTAGCGCAGGAGAGGGACTCGCTCGCGTTCCTGCAGGTGAGCGATGAGTCTCCACTGTCGCTATTGGCACAGAGCCCTCTCACCAGCAGCAGCAGAGGGAGGCTCCTGAATGAGAGCTCGCATCCACTGGGCTTGAGAACACAGCTCCACTCATGGACTCGCATCGCAGCTCCAGTGGCTGCCATTTGGAAGCCCAGCTCATATTTTCTCAGTTAAATTAATTCTCTCTCCCGTCCTTTAACAGATTCCCATTAAGTTTGTTTCATTGTGAATATAAATAAATGTTATTGGAATTGCACCTTTTAAATCAACCATACAACAACAATGTACACGGTATTCATGATTGCCATCAGCGATAATCTATCCACTTATTGATGAAGGCCTCCCCAACCCATTGCCACATTTCATGATGCCGCGATGCAACAATCCACCAGCGCCTGCTCACAAGCTGATTTCATCTCTGCTTTTTACTTTGTGTACCTCCACTTGGATGCGCGAGCTTCAGTATTCATATTCGTGAAGCTAAAATAAATACGAGGTCTCATACACTTATTAATGATATCATTGTGTCTTGAACATCACTTCTACAAGATCTGCACCATGTGCATTGGTAACTCCAGAAACTACTAGTCCTACGTTCCTCTCAACACAGATCAATATCAACCGGTCTCACTCTGAAATATTTGCCGTGCAAATTCATGTTGGTCCTCATGGGGGTGGCGAGATGTTAACTACCTCGCCTGGTATACCGAAGGTCCGGGATTTAATCCCAACCCTGACATCCATATACATTTGGAGTTTACATTTCTCCCTCCATGGTGGTATGGATTTTTCTCCGGATCCTCCAGTTTTTCCCTCCACATTTGGAAACCTGCGTTTAGAGTATTGAGCTGCTATAAATTTCCACGAGATGAACCACTTCGTTGAGCTATCATTTGTGGCCAGGTCCCTTCTGAAAAAGAGCTACGTAGCTGCGTGGGCCTTACCTGAAAAATAAAATAGTAGTTTATCGTTTACTATCAATCGGTCTTACTCTGAAATATTTGCCCCGTAAGTCAGTGTTGGTGATCATAGGGTCATAAGCCAAGACTCTGGGGTTTATATTCCACCCACGGTGTTGCAGTGGGAACTCCACTGATCATGAGGGATTGGAGGTAGAGTCACAGTACCGTATCTCTCTCTCTTCCATAGGGGCACCTGGAGGAGATGTGCAGGTAAAATACGACTTTCATTCATTACCCGACACATGACAACATGGGACTGAGTGTGGGGTGTGGGCAGTGAGATACTGGCTGTGTGTGGGGATGCTGTGTGTGATGATGGTTTGTGTGGTTATAGTGTGTGTGGTGATGCTGTGTGTGATGATGGTGTGTGTTGATGATGTGCGTGATGATGCTGTGTGCGTTTATGCTGTGTGGTGATGCTGTGTTTTGATACCGTATGTGGTGATGCTGTGTGTGGTAATAGTAATTCTGTGTAGTGATGCTGTAATTGTGAGATGAGTGATGATGCTTTGTGTGATGTGTGTCTACGTGATGGAGCTGTGATGATCCTGTGAGTGACGATGCCATGTCTGTTCTGCTTTCACAGGACAGGGAGGTTTACAGCAGATCCACCCTCAGGTCCTAGCCAAGAGGACATTGCTTCGCTTAAAGGCACCGAGGAAACTGTGGCCAAATTCCTGTGTGAGTTCTTCAGTGTGAAATATGGGTGATGGGGCCATCTTCACAATAAATGATCACCGTGTGTGTGTGCACGAGGTCGACTCAGCCTCAAATGCTTACCTAGTTTTGTGTGTAAACATCACCACGAGGGAGACAAAGGTGACCAGGCGTAGTGCGGACCACCAAGCCCATCATGTGCTGTTCCAGCTTTCAAAGGTGCTGATTTACCTCGGCAGTCTGTTAAGGCAACACGGGGAATATTTTTCTTTGTTTACATTCTGGAGCCTGATCCTGTATTTAAACAAAATCGCCACTAGGGAGAAAAAGGTGGTCGGGCGTGGTGCTGGCCACCCACCTCCTCGTGTGCCATGCTGGTCATCATAGATGCTCGCTAACAGCACTTGCCCCAATGGTCTGTTTAGGCTACACAGGGGATCTTAGTCTTTGTTCACATCCCAATCCAGGACCTGACTGAACAGAGCCATGAGGCTAAGTATGACGATCTTGTGCAAATAATCAGCTTTACGAGTCAGGGGTAATTGTGATGTTGAGATGCAATTTGTTCCTCTGAATGTGTCTGTGCATTTGTGCATGGGGGGAGTGGTGGCATAGTGGTTAGCACACTGCACTGCGAACCTAGTTACCTGGCTTTGATTACCCGCCAAGGCTAACATCAGTGGCAGGTGATATCTTATCCAGTCCTTGGCCTCTACGATTCAGTTTCAACCTCAAATGAGCTCCTGATGCTGGTAATGGTCATAATGATGTTGATAGTGGTCGTGATGAGCATAGTGGTAATGATAGTGCATTGGCCAGTCATCTCAGTCGACCCATAGCACCTTGGTCTGCCCCATGACCTCCTGCCAGCGGGCGTTCGACACTTAACGTGGCCTCAACGTGCACATAGCCTGGCACAAGCGCCGTGGTGACGTCACCACCACTTAATGGCGAATGGCACTGTATTGATGGCGATAGTGATGTTGTTGATTTCCACAGTGTTTATGATGGTGGTGATGTATATGTAGTTGTAATTGATGATATTCATGGTGAGGATGGTTGTTGATGGTGATGTTTGTGATGTTATTGTTGATGGTGAAGATGATGGTTGGTGGTGGTAATGTTGATAGTGGTGATAGTGGATAATGGTGATGATGTTGTTCTGTAGTGATGTTGTTATCACTGTTGTCACAGACGGATGCTCACCAACTCTGGACACAAACTCAGCTAATAACCAACTCCAGATCTCTTCGGATCTCAGGACGATGACAGCGGTCCCTGCCTCCCAGGGTCGCCCCCATCACCCACACCGGTTTGATGGCCGTGCACAAGCCCTGTGCTGTGAGAGCTTCTCGTCTGGCCACCACTACTGGGAGGTGGACGTGGGGGACGCGCGGTGGTGTCGGGTTGGAGTCGCGTACGGGACGATCCCACGGAAAGGGAGTGGTGCTGCACAGCTGCTGGGAGATAGCAACTCGTCCTGGTGTTTAGAGAAATGGTTTAACAGCTTCTCAGTGGTTCATGGTGGAGTGGAGACTGCACTGTCGGTGAGGGGGGCCCCCTCCCTCCGCAGAATCGGGCTTCACCTGCACTGGGAGGGGGGGCTCCTGGCGTTTTACCGCGCCGACTCCATGGAGGTGATCCACGAGGGTCGGCAGAGATTCTCGCAGCCTCTCTACCCTGGGATGTGTGTGGGGTGTTCTAATGAACCATTGAAGATCGTGGATCTGAGTCGTGCATCCTGAGGATGAGGAGAGATAGAAACCTAAGAAACTGAGACGGAAACTCAATAAACGGAGGAGAGGGTGGATGGTGAGTAGAGGGTGAAGTGAGGGTGAGGGGAAGGTGGAACAGAGTGTGAGGTAAGGTGATGGTGAGGGAAGAATGGAGGGGAAGGTGACAGGTGAGCATGGAGGGGTAGGGTGAGGGGGGAGAGTGAGGTTCAGGTTGGCTTGCGTGAGCGATGTCGCCGGTGCAGTACAAATCGCAGGTTCGTGTGGCCGCTCCTTCGCCTGCAGTGCGTGCTTGCGTCACCACGCCTCCTCATCCCTGTGATTCACCATCATCATCATGAGCATCACCAACATCATCACCCCATCATCATCACTGTTATCATCACCCCATCATCATCACTAGCATCAACACCATCACCACCATCATCACCCCATCATCATCACCACTGTTTTCATCACCACAATCACCACCATGAACACCACCACCATCATAATCGCCATAGTCATCACTACCACCATCATTGCCATCATCATCATTACCAACATCATCACCATCATCACCATCGCCACCGCCATCACTATCAACCACGATCATCATTACTATCAACACCACCAAAACCATCATAATCACCATCACCAACATCATCTTCATGATCACCACGATCAACACCATCATTGCAATCATCATCATCACCATCACCCCATCATCATCACTATCATCAGCAACATCATCATCAACATCATTATCCCAATCATCACCACTGCCACAAACACCATCAACCAACCATCAACCACCCCCATCATCATTATCATCACTATCAGCACCACAATAATCATCACCATTATCACGTCCATCACCATAATCATAATCATTACTTATCATCACCACTCTCATCATCATTACCATCATTATGACCGTCATCACCATAACCATCATCACCATCATTATGACCATCATCACCATAACCATCATCACCACCATCAACATCATCACCACCATCACTACCACTGTCATCACCACCGTCAAACTCCTATCAGCATCATGACCACCACCATCAAGCTCATCACCATCAACACCACGACTAGCACCACTACTATCATCAACACCATGATCATTGCCACCACCATGATCACCACCATCACAATCATCACAATCATCACCATCATTACGATCATCAACACCACAAAAAACTGCCATAATCATCACCATTATCACATCCACCATCACGACAATCATCACCACCATCATCATCACTATCCTCACCGTGAAAACCACCATGACCATAATTTCCACCATCACCCTCATCACGTCCATTACCACCATCTCCCTCATCACCATCATTACCACCACCACTGTCATCATCACCACCACCATGATCACCACCATCATTATCATCATCAGCATCATCACCGCCCACATCACCACCATGATGATCACCATCACCATTCTTACTATAATCATCACAACCATCACCACGATCATCATCACCATCATTACCATCATTATTACCATGATCAACACCACTACCATCATCACCATTTTACCATTATTACCACCACTACCACCATCATGGTAACGTCTTTGTAACGTCTTTGTAATTGGGGCTGTTATTTTTGCTTATTGTTTTTAACCGGGGTGAGAAATCAAGACAATAATATTGGAGTCTCATTTGTAAGAGTGAGTGGAATGGGGAGTGAGTGCTTAGGTGAGGGTGCAAGTGAGTAGGTAGATAAGTGATGGTGGGTGGGTGACTGAATGATTGAGTGAATGTGTGGGGGCTACCGTCCCCCGCCATCACCGAATTGTCTTGGCCGTGGTCCCCCGACTCCCCCGTTAAATCCGTCCCACTATCCCCCGGCTGTTCTGTGGGGTCTTGGCTACCAACCCCCAAGTTTTCGCCCCCTTGCACCCCTGACTTTGCGGCTGCCCGCATAGGCATGTTTCAATTGATGACCCGTACGCTTTGCGCTTGCGGCGCACTATGCGAGATCAGCGGCGTGCTGCGGTGAGCGTGCTGATGGGAGGAAGTCGCTCCGCTCCGATTTGAAGGGCCATTTAAACAGCCGCGCGAATACGCGCACGTCAGGTACTTAGTTCGTCACCTCGCTATTAGACAATCGCGCAAGTGCGCGACCGCAATGCAATCCCACAGGCGCGCGAGCGCTAAGCCCTACTGTAAGCAATCGTACAGGTACGCGAACACCAAGCCCGCTAAGCACTGCCGTAAACCGTCGCACGGTTACGCGAGCGCTAAACACCACCGTACACAGCCGCGTAGGCACGCGCACGCTAAGCGCTCCGCCTTGTCGTAAACAACCGCGCACGCACGCACGCGAGCGCAAAGCGCTACACTCCCTTATCCGCCGCAAACAGCCGCGTATGCGCGTGAACACAAATACTCTCCACCCTCTTCACACTCACAAAGACCATACGACACAGTTTTATCCTCCTACTAGCTATTTTATTTACCGCGAGTAACCCGTTAAACTACGCGTGATTGTGTGAGTCAGCAGGCCCCCCATAGCCTGTCCTTCGGGAATCCTCGGCTCAATTCACCCTGCCTATCGCTCCGCTTTCTACCCTCGCTTATATAGCCCAAACTTACCTCTCTCTCTTACTCACGCTTACTTCCACCCTGCTGCGCTGGAAGCTGTAGAAAGGCGATGTTGTGGGTCGTCTCCGGGGAGGGTTGAGCCTGGCTGCGCTGAAGCTCGTCACATGGATTTCTCGAATGGCTGACTCTCCTGCTCCGTGGACCGCGATGATTTTGAAGAAGAACTCTCGTTACTGCCCCAACCCTCCTGATTTTATCCTCCCCATCGCAGAGGTCTGCCACCGCACGCGTGCTGCCTCGTCCATTCAGATGGCGGAACTATTTTCGTCCCGTTGTCATTGGGGTTCCTAATTATATCTATAACAAAAGGCGTACCGCGGATCCCACGCCGTGCCGCCTTGTCCATTCAGATTTCGGAATGCCCCCGTCCCATTGTTATTGGGGGTCCCTAATTTTACCTATGACAAAGGCGCACAGTGGTTCCCACGCCTCGTGCCGTGTGTGTGTGTGTGAGTCCCTAATCCTACCCATAATTAAGGCGTACCGCTGTTCTCACGCCCCATGCCGTGTGATTTCATCCACGGTGGCTCTACGGGCTCCGTCATGACCATGTAATTTTAACATTTGGTCATGGTGCCGTGGTGCGCGTCAGCTACGGGGGGGAGATCGCCCAATTTCCCGGCCGCGGGAAACCATGAAGCTTGATCCCATTAGGGGCCTCTGGATAAAAACTCGTCGGCCAGGTGACCTCCCCTCCCGGCTCTACGTGGGGTGTGTGTGCGTTCGTGCGGCGGGCGGCGTTATCACCGCCCGGTGGTGGTGTCACGGCGGTGGGTACGGCCCCCGACGGAGCTGCTCCGCTGCGGCGGTACCGCAAGTGCATGGTTGATTGGGTGAGATGGTGAGTAAGTGAGTGCATGGGTGAGTGAGATGGTGGGTGAGTGAGTTGTTGTGTGGGTCAGTGGTTAAGTTAGTGAGCGAGAGGGTAGGTGAGTGGGTTTAAGTAGCAATGTCAAAGTTATCCAAGAAGAAGAGCTTCAGTGGCTTCCTAATGATGTAAGGAAAAGCATTCCAGACGGCCACAGACGCAGCACCTCTAACAGCGCCACACAACACGATGACCGTCTTTTTTCGATCTTGCATGGTGATTATAATCATTACAGTACGTATATGTTCATAAGTTTGCTGCCTGGATTTCTGCCTGCCTGGCTTCTTGGCGGGCGGGCGAGCAAGTGAGCGTATTCGGTGACGACGTCATGGCGCGCATCTGCGGGATGACGTCACCACCACACCCCACAGCGTTGGAGCGGGTTCCTGGATGGTGCCGACGTCATAACCCTCCCTCCCACCCAGGGCGTGCATCCCGTGAAAATGAGCGAGATGCGTTAAATAACACCATCATATCAAACTCAGATCATCATACTCAGACTACATTAGAAAATAAGTTTTCTGACTGGATGGCTGGAGAGAGAGATGGAGGGACGGGCAGTCAGGTACAAAGGCCGTGCGGGGCTGCTCGTGTTTGATTAGAAAAGAAAAATGTTAAATATAAAAATCAAAGGTAAAAAAACAACAGCACGTGCTATTGTCTTGAGTATTTCTATTTATACAAAGTGACTTTAACCGACAGTCTATAGAAAGCAATACACGTACAGCGACACGGACTAATTTGACGTGAGTTTGTGTGTGACCAGATCAGTACTCGCTGTGTCTGAATCAATACAAATCCTGTTGTAGTGCTCGTTCTGACTGTCAACAAAAACACACGCAGTCTGCTGCACCGTGCAGGTGAAGGAGTTATTGCATTGGCACTTTTATAGACTCGCACAGAGATCTATCGACTCGCTCACACAGAGACACAGACTCACACAGAGACCCATATACTCCATCACACGGAGTGCAATAGACTCACTCAGAGACACAGACTCATCACATAGAAACCCATAGACTCACACAGAGACCCAAACTCACACAGACACATAGACACACATACCCATAGACTCACACAGAGACCCACACTCGCACAGAGTGTCATAGACACACACATACCCATTGACTCACACAGAGACCCATTCACTCAATAACACAGAGAGCCATAGACTCAGTCACACGTAGCCCCATAGACTCCCCTGTCGGTAGCAAATCGGGGAGCTCGGGCAAAGAGTGGGCAAAAACCATGAACAGGAGGCACAGGGCATGTGCAGGACATTCAGGAGCAGGGCGAGCTGGAGAGTGGTCGTGTGTAGAGTTGTGCGAGAACTCTCACCTTCTGGGTTCTAGTGCCGCCTCGTGTGTAGAGTTGTGCGAGAACTCTCACCTTCTGGGTTCTAGTGCTGCCTCGTGTGTAGAGTTGTGCGAGAAGCTCTCACCTTCTGGGTTCTAGTGCTGCCTCGTGTGTAGAGTTGTGTGAGAACTCTCACCTTCTGTGTTCTAGTGTTGCCTCGTGTGTAGAGTTGTTAGAGAACTCTCACCTTCTGGGTTCTAGTGCTGCCTCGTGTGTAGAGTTGTGCGAGAACTCTCACCTTCTGGGTTCTAGTGCTGCCTCGTGTGTAGAGTTGTTAGAGAACTCTCACCTTCTGGGTTCTAGTGCTGCCTCGTGTGTAGAGTTGTGCGAGAACTCTCACCTTCTGGGTTCTAGTGCTGCCTCGTGTGTAGAGTTGTGTGAGAACTCTCACCTTCTGTGTTCTAGTGTTGCCTCGTGTGTAGAGTTGTTAGAGAACTCTCACCTTCTGGGTTCTAGTGCTGCCTCGTGTGTAGAGTTGTGCGAGAACTCTCACCTTCTGGG